TCAATGATTCATGCCTGGAACCTACTGATCTGCTGTGTCCAATCTTAGCCCAGAGTCAATCAACACAAGGCTCTGTACAGAGGGAACACACTTTTTGCTTCTTCTCCTTGTAAAGAGATTTTTATTAAAAAGCAGCACATTATATACACATTAACACTTGTTAGGCACACACTTAAACCCCCTAGAATACCAGAGATATTAACCCCTTCCCAGCCAGTGTCTTTAATACAGTGACAGTATCTAGTATTACCATTGTATTAGTGTCACTGGTGATGTGTCAGTTCCAACCCAGTGTCAGTTAATGTCAGATTGCCCGCCACACTATCACAATCCCACTATAAGTACCTGATCATCACCACTAGTAATATATATATATATATATATATATATATATATATATATATATATATATATATATATATATAAATTCCACTATATACAGTCATGGCCGAAATTGTTGGCACCCTTGATATTTCTCCAGGAAATCATGTATTTCTCACGAAACGTATTGCATTAACACATGTTTTGCTATACACATGTTTATTCCCTTTGTGTGTATTGGGACAAAACAAAAAAAGGGAGGAAAGAAAGCAAATTCGACATAATGTCACACAAACCTCCAAAAATGGGCTGGACAAAAGTATTGGCACCCTTTCACAACTGCGGATAAATAAGAATGTTACAAGCATGTGATGCTCCTGTAAACTCACCTGGGGCAAGTAACAGGTGTGGGCAATATAGAAATCACACCTGAAAGCAGATAAAAAGGAGAGACGTTCACTTAACCTTTGCATTGTGTGTCTGTCTGTGCCACACTAAGCATGGACAACAGAAAGAGGAGACGAGAACTGTCTGAGGACCTGAGAACCAAAATTGTGGCAAAATATCAACAATCTCAAGGTTACAAGTCCATCTCCAGAGAACTAGATTTGCCTTTGTCCACAGTGCGCAACATTATCAAGAAGTTTGCAACCCATGGCACTGTAGCTAATCTCCCTGGTCGTGGACGGATGAGGAAAATTGATGAAAGATTGCAACGCAGAATAGTCCGGATGGTGGATAAGCAGCCCCAAACATGTTCCAAAGACATTCAAGCTGTCCTGCAGGCTCAGGGAGCATCAGTGTCAGCGCAAACTATCCGTCGACATTTAAATGAAATGAAACGCTATGGCAGGAGACCCAGGAGGACCCCACTGCTGACACAGAGACATAAAAAAAGCAAGACTACAGTTTGCCAAAATGTACTTGAGTAAGCCAAAAGCCTTCTGGGAAAACGTCTTGTGGACAGATGAGACCAAGATAGAGCTTTTCGGTAAAGCACATCATTCTACTGTTTACCGAAAACGGAATGAGGCCTACAAAAGAACAAAACACAGTACCTACGGTAAAATATGGTGGAGGTTCAATGATGTTTTGGGGTTGTTTTGCTGCCTCTGGCACTGGGTGCCTTGACTGTGTGCAAGGCATCATGAAATCTGAGGATTACCAAAGGATTTTGGGTCGCACTGTAGGGCCCAGTGTCAGAAAGCTGGGTTTGCGTCCAAGATCCTGGGTCTTCCAGCAGGACAATGACCCCAAACATACGTCAAAAAGCACTCAGAAATGGATGGCAAAGAAGCGCTGGAGAGTTCTGAAGTGGCCAGCAATGAGCCCAGATCTAAATCCCATTGAACACCTGTGGAGAGATCTTAAAATTGCTGTTGGGAAAAGGTGTCCTTCCAATAAGAGAGACCTGGAGCTGTTTGCAAAGGAAGAGTGGTCCAAAATTCCGGGTGAGAGGTGTCAGAAGCTTATTGATGGTTATAGGAAGCGACTGATTTCAGTTATGTTTTTTCCAAAGGGTGTGCAACCAAATATTAAGTTAAGGGTGCCAATACTTTTGTCCAGCCCATTTTTGGGGTTTTGTGTGACATTATGTCATATTTGCTTTTCTGCCTCTGTTTTATATTTGTTCCAATACATACAAAGGGAATAAACATGTGTATAGCAAAACATGTGTTAATGCAATACCTTTTTTGTGTGAAATACTTGATTTTCAGGAAAAATATCAAGGGTGCCAACAATTTCGGCCATGACTGTATACACAACATAGTTTGTAAACTTTACAACTTTTATGCAAACCAATCAATGTACACTTTATGGCATTTGTTTTTACCAAAGACATTCCATTTTGGCCTAAATTTATGAAGAAATTTTTATATTTTTTTAATTTTTTTGGATAGGTCTTATAGCAGAAAGTAAAAAATAGATTTTTTTAAAATGTTTTTGGTCTTTTTTTCGTTTGTATAATAAAAAAAAAATTAAAAACCCAGTGGTGATTAAATATCACCATAGTCTATTTGTATGAAAAAATGATACAAATTTCTTTGCATGACCATTGCATGACAGCACAATTAACAGATAAAGTAGTGCAGTGCTAAAAAAATGACCTGGTCATGAAGGGGGTAAACCTTTCGGAACTGAAGTGGAAAAAGAGAGGAGTAAGTGTGTCCAGGAAGGATAAGAGTAAGCTGTTGAACACTGAAGTAGTCAGGTCAAAGCAGGACAAGGGTGAGATTTTGCTGTATGGGCCGTCAGTAGCAGAATGAAAAAGGTAAAGGTTGAGGTAGTGATGGCTCTATAGGCAACTCTAGAGGTTTGGAGCAAAGGAGGTTGAAAAAAGGAAGAGTTTGAAACGTATAAGGTTGTGATCAGAGAAAGTAAAAGGAGTGTTTAAGAGATTGCAGGGAGGGCAAAGGAGGGAGAATGTAAGGTTGAGAGAGTTACAGCTAGAGTTAATAGCTGTGTGTGCCCATTGCGTTAGGTTAAAATAAGAGGCTAGGTTGAGTAGTTGAAAGGTGGCTGGGGTGTTCACATTGACTGTAATGTTAAAGTCACCTGAGGATGATGGTGGGTATTTAAGAGGAGAGAAATTTGGGTAGCCAAGCAGAGAAGTAATTGAAGAAGACTGACAATGCTCCAAGAGGCTGATACATCACTGCAATCCTCAAAGAAACCGTAAATAAAAAGACAAATACAGTGAACTTGAAAAGAAGAGAGTGGCAGAGATGGAGGTGTAGGAAGAATCTTACCACACAGGTAAGCTAAAACCAAATACACTTGCCAACAGCCAACCCCAGCTCCCTCCCCATTTCCCTCTCTAAAGGCTACTCATAGGCTGTGCTTTAAAATTTTTTTTTTTTTTACATTTAGAATGCCTCAATGTGACATTGCCAAAAAACGGTCCGTTTAAAGTCAAACGAAGGGCTGGATATCATGGTCATATTGATGCATCATAGAGCACAGGAAAATGCATGGATAAGAAAAAAATAGTAATTTAATATTACATATTCACATAAATATGTGCATTATGGTGCCTTAATAAAAATTCCAATATTTCACGGTTTAGGAGCACTGATCAAATCAATTGAGATATATCTTTGCATGTCAACATGTGACAACGCAATGTACATTACAGCATGCATTCTGGGTATGAAACTAGCCTGAGTGTTATTCAATTTTAGAATGCACAAACAAAACATAGCACTTGGGAGAATTAAAGTAGAACCAGCAGAAAAAGGTCTGCTTACACTGTCCAGGCCCACTTCCCCTTCACAAATCACCTACTGATCTATTGGTGTAAAATGTACCTAAAATCAGAAAAAAGTCAAATTTCTACTTACATCACCATCATCCTCCACCCGCGTGCTTAGGCAAGCATGACTTTAATACTTCCGTCTACATTCTGGGAAATACAAATCAGCTTAAATTTTGCAAGAAGACACTTTTGCAATGGACTGGAGTCTTCTCATGAGATCTCATCTGCTCTGCATTACCCAGGATTTCTCAAGGAAGGACGGTGATGGCACAACCAGTGATGTGGAAGACAGAAGTGAGGCAAGTACAAAAACTAACATTATGCCTACTAACAATAGGTGATTTGTAAAGGAGGAGTGGACCGGGCAATTTCCGGGGACCTTTTTTTTTTTACTGTGAGGTCTGGTCTTCAAACAGCCAAGGGCCTTCATACATTAGATATTTAAATAATACCCAGAATTTTAATGGAATGTGCATGTTTATGTGCTGAACAGACAAGTCCTGGCTCCAGCCTCATCTTGGGCAAGCAGCAACTGTCCAGGAAAATATGCTATACAAAACCAAATCCATCACAAGACTAATAGGTATTTGGAACAATGATAATGCAGACACAGACATACCATGGTCATCTACTTCGTGATCTGGTACACATACATAGACATCTGGTGTCTAGGTGTAGCCCAACATTAACTCATTTTGAACATAGTTGTTAATAAAGTACAGCAGGCATGTCAAACTCAGATGAAGCTGAATTGAGTAGCATTACCAGCTGAAATTTAAATCTGAAAGCATATCCTGAATTTCTGAGCTACTAAATTGGTTTATGGGCAGTGTTAAGGCATTGTAGAATAGCAAGGGGCTCATTAAAACTTGTAGTGTTAACACTGTAGAATAGCAAGGGCTTATTCAAATGGGATTCTAAAACTGCTGAAATCCACAAAGGAGGAGCAAGAGCAACACATGTGGCCCAAACAACATCAGTCTGACATACCTGAACTACAGGTAACCAGGGCAGTCAAATGGCAGGCAATTAATATGTTAAAACAGGCAAGTGATGACTATTGCCCAATATTGATCTGAATACACTTTTTTTCTTTCAAACTGTTGCGACTGCTACTCCCCCCCCCCCCCCCCCCCCCCTCCTCCAAAAAAAAGGTCAGGATCAGGTATGTCTCATAAGAGCAAAAAAAAGACAGCTATCACGTGCGACATTACCATTGCGGTTCAGAACTTATGACTGCACTCTCATATCTAGTTTCTCATATCTAGTTCTTACATTATACATGTATATAACCAAGTCAGATGTTTAGAATTAAATTCGAGACATTTAAGCTTTGGCCCCAACCCATTCTTTTGGCAAAACTACAACCATTTTACAAAGCTCACCCCATTAGAGATCTGCTGCATCAGATATGTATACTGACCTTATGGGAAGAAGAGTCTAATATAAATTCTGCTCGAATTCCATTATTTTCTGGACTTCTGTAGTCGAACAGTGAGTTAGTAAGATAGGTGTTCCCTTTGCTGCTTAAACTCTCCCCACAGGTAAAGAAACAGGCCTCCTACAGATAGATAAACACCATATAACACACATAATACTTATAGTTAATACTATTCGATCACATAATGACCAGGATCATTTGACAAGAATTTGACAAGATCATACTTTTAAACTTGAAACGAAGTTGATTTTTAGATTTAGGGCACATATTTAACCAGGCCTCAATGATCAGCTCAGTTTCAAACCATTTCTATAAATACTCTATTAAATGGCTTTGTTTCTGGAATAACTGGTAATATGGGCCACTCTGGAATCTAAGGGGAAGATTTACTAAAACCGGTGCATACAAAATCTGGTGCAGCTGTGCATAGTAACCAACTTCTAAAGTCAGCTTGTTCAATTAAGGTTTGACAATAAAACCTGGAATCTGATTGATTTCTATGCACAGCTGCACCAGATTCTGTGTGTATCAATATTAGTAAATCACCCCATAGTGCCCTACATGCCATCTCTACAATTCTTATAGATGTGTCTATGTGATCAGTGTTTTTTGACATATTTGTTTAGGTGCTTCATATATGTATATTGATTTCATTATCATTAATATTTATGTACGCAAACAGACATGTCATTTTGTTTTTACCACCCCTCCCAGGATTTCCTTTCAGTTTATGTTCTTTCCCATTTTTTGCGGTGCCTTCAGCACTGGTATTTGAACACAGACTGGATAATGGAGTTCATAGTTCTTCTGTATTCCTTCCACTTGGAGGGCTCTGTGTCACTTTTATGGTGATGGGTGACTTTTGCCTGCCAGAATTTGATGTGTTTGGTGATGCCGTTTGTCCCCTCACATCTTTTCCTCCTTCCTGTGGTGTCCACTGTGGCACAATGTGAAGACCCCTCCCACCCCTGCACTTTATTCTAAAGTGCAAATGGCACTTTCAGTTCTTTGTTTGTCCTCCAGTGCACATGCCACTTTGTGGCTAGGACTGGAGGCTGGGAGCCACCTGTGGGGTTGGGCTACAGTTTCATTCTATCACAGCAGGGCTTTCACAGAGGGAGCCTAGTATAAAAGCCTTGAGGAAGCAAGGAAGCGTATTCTCTTTCCTGTTAGGTCAACAGAAGGCTGCCCTCATGTGAACCTTTCGTATGTGAAGATCCTTTTCCTTAGTAAGCGAGACATTTAAAAAAAAAAGTTTTGTTCCTGGCATTCTTCTGTGTCTTTGGCTGTTTTCCTTCACCCTTATTCATGCCGTGCACTTTGTCAGGATGGATTGGTTGATGGCATATGTCTGCATGCATATATCATTTTGTATTATTTAGTGTGTAACTTACATAAACGTGGTCCTATGCAACTATTTTGGTTGTACATGGTTAGGAGTCTTTGGAGCATATTACTCTGGGACAGTTAACTTATGGTGTTTTCCATTACAGATTTCGTATATGCCAATGCGGACATATAAGAATGATTTGTAAAAACTATAATTAACTACTTGTGTTCCTTCGCCCTGAAAAAGCAGGGTTCACCCTGGGAAATGCTTTGATAGATGAAACTTTTGTCTTGTATATATTAGACTATATATCTTGTTTTCAATAGTTCAAATCCCCCTTTATGGATTTTTATATTTGTCCGCAGTAAGGCCTAGGAATGAGATTTGTCTTGGTCACACCCTGATCCTTATCATGTTACATACATGTGCCTAGTTTTTTATGACTGTTTGAGTATGGAAACAATTTTTATCAACTTTTTGTATAATTAAAATCATAATTCTTTAATGTCCGTTTTTTGTGTCTTTTTTGGTGCTGTGATCGATAATGAGTCAGTTTTTGTACGATTCTTTTAACCACTTGCCTACCAGGCACTTATACCCCCTTATTTACCAGGCCAATTTTCAGCTTTCAGCGCTGCCACATTTTGATTGACAATTGCGCGGTCATGCAACATTGTACCCATATGAAATTTTGATCATTTTTTTCTCACAAATAGAGCTTTTTTTTGGTGGTATTTAATCGTCACTGGGCGCTTCACTTTTTGCGCTATAAACAAAAAAAGTGCAAAAAATTTGAAAAAAAAAGTTTCTTTGTTTCTATTATAAAATTTTTCAAACAGGTAATTTTTCTCCTTCACTGATGAGCGTTGATGAGGCAGCACTGATGGGCACTGATAGGCAGCACTGTTGGGCACTGATAGGCAGCACTGATGGGCACTGATAGGCAGCACTAAAGGGCACTGATAGGCAGCACTAATGAGGTGGCACGGATAGGCGGCACTGATAGGCAGCACTAATGAGGTGTCACGGATAGGCGGCACTAATATGCAGCACTGATAGGCGGCACTGATAGGTGACACTGATGATGGGTACTGATAAACGGCACTGACTGGCATCACTGCTGGGCACTGACTGGCACAACCGCTGGGCACTGACTGGTGGCACTGACTGGCAGCACTGGTGGGCGGCACTGGTGGGCAGCACTGGTGGGGGCACAGGTGGTGGGTGGTGGGCACAGGTGGGTGGCACTGCTGGGCACAGGTAGGTGGCACTTCTGGGCACAGGTGTGTGACACTGCAGAGTGGCACAGGTGGGTGCATTGCTGGGCACAGGTGGGTGATCTGCTGGGCACAGGTGGACGGAGCTAGTGGGCACACTGCTGGGCACAGGTGGGCGGAACTTGTGGGTGGCACTGCTGGGCACCGATCATCAGGGCACTGATCATCAGTGCCCTGACGATCGGTGCCGATCCTCGCTCTGACAACTGCCGGTTCTCGGCAGTACTTTCCTCACGATCTGACAGCGTGAGGAAAGTGCAGCCGAGAACAGGAAAGTGCAGCCAAGAACCGGCAATTGCATTTCCCTGTGATCAGCGTGTCATTGGACACCGCTGATCACGTGGTAAAAGGCCGATGTGATTGGCCTTTTACCACATCACGTGATCAGCTGTGTCCGCAGGACACAGCGATCACAGAGATTGCCGGTGTGCGCGCCCCCTGGGGCACGCAGGAGAGCGCGTTCTGGGAGGACGTCATATGACGTCCACCCAGAACTGGCCGGCCGTATTGCAGCCTTCATTCGGCTATCTGCGGTCGGCAACTAGTTAATAGCTACAATTGTAAAAGGAATGAGGTACTATACAGCTACCCTAAAACTGATGGAACACTACATTTATGTTTAATGGAGGACTCCAGTTAAGAATGAGTTTGGAAGTATACACGAAAAGCCAAGAGCTATATACCTATGCCTTTTGGATTCAACAACCAAAGAAAAATAATGCTCCACTAAGCTATGGCCAGGAAATAAAACCGGATCCTTTTTCTTAGGATCCAAAACATCATCGCAATCAACACAAATACATTTCCAATAACCCTTCTTCATGTTCTTTTCCTGATCAAAAGAGATTGCTCTCAGCTGTTCAGGTTAGTCTGGGAGCTTTAATGCAGAACTTTACTCTCTCAATCAACACTGACTATTTATAACCCTTATGCTGCTAGCATTAGTAAATAGATAAGTATTTACTTGTATTAAACTTTGTTTTTGCATTACTTCAGTTAGTTCCTGGTTTCCAGGCCTAGGCAAAGGATTTCATGCATCCCAAGAGTCTTCAGGAGGGCAGGAGCAGTTCTCAGCTAAGCACATCCTCCTGCCTGCATGTCTGAGCTAAGGGCAGATGGATTCCAGGAATTAAATTCTCCATTAATCATCTGCACTTAGTCAAGATGGCCATGGCCAGAAATGCTAGGGAGGTGTTTTTCTAAGTGATTTCTCAGCAAAATAAAGAATGGGGAGATATATGAATAGAAGGGTGAGTTTCTTTTGAATGTAAAAAATGTATTCAATAGTGTTTTGGTTTGTGGTGCTCAGATGCTGTGTAGTTCCTCTTTAATGCTGGTCACAACCACAATATAAAAAAAACTATGTCTTCATATGCCTAACCAGAGACATGATTATATAATCTTATATTAAAAAACTCTTTTTGAATACAGACAGTTGAACGTTACACACATTTAATTCCTTTTATGGCTTGTATATACAGCATTTGACATGTAGCACAAAATGACACATATTTGTACTTACAGAATCGGATCTATTTGTATTTTCCTCAAAATCTTTTATTCCCATAATTCCTTTCAAACATATAGCTTGACTCCCCACAAATCCAATCTGGCAATCAAAGAAAGGCTCTCCCTTCATTAGTACCTGTAGAAAAAATAAAAAAATAGCATTTTATGTGAATCTTTGAAAAACTATTTGCATTTTGTTTTAGTTACTGCAATCCATTTGCAGATCTGCCACTGCCTCTTGGTAAGCTAAAATAGAGCTGATCCAACATTAGTAAGCAGGTTTTTAGCAATGTGCTTAGGTATCACAAAATAAATTGAGAATGGTGACATGTATATCGGTAAACGTCAACTGTATCATACAGTTTTCAGTATAAAACCATTCTGGAGGGAGATCCGCAGCTTAATTTGTCATATCACACAACATCCCTTACCGGACAATCCTTTACCTGTATTGTTTCATGCTTCCCATTTCTCGGTGGGAGAATATAAAAGATGTTTACTGCCTCACCTTTTAAATGCAGGGAAATCACCTATGGTTCCTTCAGTGAAGGACTGGATAGTAAAAGTGCAGGAAATTAGAGAGGCAGAGGATTGGAGATTTAGATGCAATGATGAACTTAAAAAAATCCATGATCAATGGGTGTCATAGATGGAGTTGACATCCTCTGACACGTTTGGAAGTTTATTTGCTTAGAGTTGTAGTAGACCACAGTTTTCCACTCATTTGCGTTTGGCCTACAAACTTCCTGCTAATTTTTTTTTTTTTTGTACATGCTGGTAAGATACAGTTTTTATGTGGAATTAGGATTGTTTTCGTGCTATTGTATGTTAAATATGTTTAGGGAAAACTAAATAAAGATTTAAAAAAAGACAATGTTCAGCAGAGTATGGTGCAGTATGGTGTCATATCAAAATGTCACTTCCAGGATCTAACAAGTTTTAAGTTTCACTTCAAAGACTTATGAATCCTTTACACATACTCCTTATCCTGCTCGTCTTCATTAGGCTTGGTATTTTGACAGAATGACAGATGTAGGACTTTAAACTGATAGAAAGATGGAAATATTCATGCCTTACTCCACTGCTGGAGCTCATCTTTAGCATTGTATTCTGTTTTGTGGGTTTGTATGCCTGTCAACCTTCTACAACACATCTCTTCTATGGACACCATCTAGTCCTGCTTTTAGGTACTGTTAAGTCCTTGTTATACACCACACAAAGTGAAAACAAAAATGGCATACATTCAATACTATGGAAAAATGCTCAGAATAACCAATCCTGTTGCTAATAAACAGACCACAATCAGTCCCAGTTAACCTCACACAGTGGTGCTGCACCAACAAATGTTCTTAATAGTAATATGATCCTCCTGCGCTTCTAAGTGAATAATAAAAATAATATTGAAAGCTGCTGACACCCAGCCCTATACCTATAGGTGATAAAGATGCCAAAATATAAATCTAATAGTGTAGCGCTACTATATATAAATATTGATAATATAATAAAAGAATAACAAAATATAATACAATAATAATGAAATAAATGTGTGACTAGATACATACACTGTGACAAATCCAAAGTGATCTGATCCTCTCTGGGATCTAAAAGTGAAACAACTTCAAGTGACACAGAAAACGTGGAACAAAACGGTCCCAATTGGATCCAATATGGTGAAAAACAACAAAAAAACAAAAAACCCAAATCCCTAATTGGGATCAATGGCTTAAAATTAGCCAAATGAAAGACTACCAAGTGGCACATAAAGTGAATCCCTTCAAAGGGATATACCTCCTATAAAGTGATACGTGCTCAGTGATGACATAAAAAAATCCTCAAATAAATATACAGCAAATATAGGAAAAACACAATCCTCACCCTTTCACTTAAAACATATTATTCAACTAAAAAACAATCTAATATGAATAAAAAATATTGTATAGTGAAATATACACATATAAAATTACTATAATAAAAATAATTATAAAAAGTCCAAAGGTGCAAATACGCCAGGTGATCCAATAACTTTCAGAACCATGCGGACAAAAACAAGTGAGTTGGCAATTGCGTTTTTTGTCTTTCTAAATACAATAAATTGAATTACACTATGGAGGATCTCTCTTTTTATGTCTTTATCGTGATCCAAATGTGAGTTGGATGTATTACGTTTACGTATCTCTGGATGGGAATCTGTGATATTTAACGCATACCATTGAAGGGGATTTCTACGGTTTGAAAGAATATCATCCACACAGGGGAATCCGACTGTGGAGGATCCTTTTGTGTTCCTACAGGCGTCTTGGCCCATTGGGTCGCGGTAAGGAGGTGAGGGGGCAATTCAGCCATTTAAGAATTTAATACCATTGGCTATAACGCACATCCACTGTATCACCTGCATGGTTCTGAAAGTTATTGGATCACCTGGCGTATTTGCACCTTTTATATTCATTTATATGTGTATATTTCACTATACAATATTTTTTATTCTTATTAAATAGTTTTTTAGTTGAATAATATGTTTTAAGTGAAAGGGTTAGGATTATGTTGTTCCTACATTTGCTGTATAATTATTTGAGGATTTTTTGATGTCATCACTGAGCACATATCACTTTATAGGAGGTATATCCCTTTGAAGGGATTCACTTTGTGTGCCACTTGGTAGTCTTTCATTTGGCTAATTTTAAGCCTTTGATCCCAATTAGGGATTTGGGTTTTTTGTTGTTTTTATATTCATATTGGGTCCAAATGTGACCGTTTTGTTCCTCGTTTTCTGTGTCACTTGAAGGTGTTTCACTTTTAGAACTCAGAGAGGATCAGATCACTTTGGATTTGTCACAGTGTATGTATCTAGTCACACATTTATTTCATTATAATTGTATTATTATATTTTGTTCTTATTATTTTATTATCAATATTTATATGTAGTAGCGCTACACCATTAGATTTATAGTTTAACAAATTTTCTTAGTTCTGTAAGTGTGGAAAGATGGCTGTGCTTGCAGTAAGTAATTTAACTCTCGTGTTACTGTTCTCTGTGAGCAAATAGATAGGTTTCTATAGCTTACAATATCCGTATGTTTTAAGCATCACTCATTGAGGTCTGCCATTGTGGAGATGGGGTAGTGAATCTGATTGACAGCACAATTTCCAAGAATTATGTGCTCCCAGTGTGTTGATTTATACTGATTTATTCCGAGTATTCAGTTTTCCCAGCTGAAAACCATGCTGCAAAGGAAAGGTGTTCCTGCCTAGAATGTTTATTTATGGAAGACTTCAGGGCCAATACAATAGAAACTGGATTTGAGGAGTTGATATAAATGATCACCAAAAGATGTTTGCAAAGTTGACATAGTCTGTTTTGGACATGTGACACACAAAAAAACGTTTAGAATCACCCTTTGCAGAAACTTTCCTAATATGTATTTAGCCTGCTGGGAGCAGTAAATGTGTCCTTGATATTGAAATTTTGCCGTGGCTGTGTGTGGTGCGGAAGGCACCCCCTTCCAAGAACACAGCATCCAGTTTCTGATTGGTCTATAAGCAATCCGTGACATTATCACGTGCAGCATGTCAATCCTCTTGCCAGCAGAGACTATTAGGAAGTTTCCATTTTCATGCAAGTGTAGCAGGGTTTCCGATGGCACAGGGGTCCTGAAAGAGTAACTTATGCTGTCAGCTATTTGTCTGCATTGCTCCCAGATGCTGCTCCTAATCTGACATCTATGTGGGTGCATGGCCCCAATGCACCTACACAGATGTCAGATTGAGGGCAGC